CTGCATTCCTATAGTTTGGAAAACTGCTTTGGAATTACATAAAGAGGTGGATCCACAGGGCTGAGGTGTTTTTATTTTAAACATACTTTTTATGACTTTGTGGAAGCTCTCTGCCTCCGGAAGGAATAAAGGGCCAATTGAGTAAAATCAAAAGCATTTTTGTTTACATCTACCAAGATGATAGGAATATCGACAGGCATGCTGTAAAAATAGGGTGGTTGTTTCTTTATACGGGGTTTTGCAAACTCCTCTGAAAGGATTTGACAGGGTTTTGTGGGAATCAGAAACTCTGCAAGGGGCTTAAGCATTAAAAACAACAACACTGAATACACTCAGCCTTTTAAGTTCCTGCTTTGAAGCTACAGGGATTTCCATGGCATTTTTCTGTAAACTTGAGCAGAAAGGGTAGGGCTCATCAGCTGACATTCCGGAGCCCCACCCCTCGTAATTCGGGATTTTGGGAATTTTTAAAATAAAACTGGCTCTATAGCTTTAAAAAGTTTGAAAATTCATGCTCTGGAACAGTGTTTCCCGCCGTGGGAAACTTTTAAGAAGTGTAGATATCAATTCCCAGAATTCCTCTGGCTGGAGAATTCTGGGAGTTGGGAGTCCACAAATTTAAGTTGCATCTGACCCCATGAACCAGAGAATGCCAGGCCCCCGGTACACTTTCTCCCAGAGTTTGCCAAAATTCATGTTCATTGCGTCAATGACTCTTATCTAATCATCTCTTCCTCTACTGTTCCCATCTTTTGCCTCCCATCTTCTCCAACATCAGGGTCTTCTAAAAAGAGTCCTCATTTGATGGCTAAAATATTTCAGCTTCAGCATCTGTCCTTCCAGGGTTGATTTCCTTTAGGATCGACTGATTGGATCTCCTTGCAGTCCAAGGGACTCTCAAGAGTCTTCTCCCAACGCCACAATTGGAAAGCATCGATTCTTCGGCTTTCAACCTTCCTTATAATCCAACTCTGGCAGCCGTACATTACGACTGAGAAAATCAACACTTTGATCTTACACAAATCTTAAAAAGGTTTAAGCTAAAGTTGAGAAACCCTTCTCTAGAATATTGACTGCAGCAATCTGACCAGCTTCCTTAATGCTGCAAAGATGGTGGGGAATACAGTAGTTTACAGATACAGGATATTTTCACAATTCACAATTCAGTCAATTCAGCCAGCCGGGGTGGGGGAGGGAGAGAGAAGGGACCGAAGCCTCCTGTAGCACCCTGCCGGCCAAAATGGGGCATTGCCCCCATGCCCCATTTTGGCCAGCCGAATGCTACAGGAGGCCGTCCAGTGATCTGTCCCCGTCCACACACACACACAAACACAGCCAGCCGAGGATTAAGGAAGCACTTGGCACACACCCAGGTCTTTATCTCCAACTTGGCAGCGATATACACACCGTCTGCCAAGTGCTTTTATTGCCACAGAAACAGAAAGATAATATACTCAGCGTACAAGAGTCCAACAGAAACAATATTCCTCTCGTCAGCTTCAGCCGTGTTCTAGTGACTATCCAAGGTTTGTTTTTGTTCGTCACAGGGATCACTGACCACCACCCTCTATTATATAGTCTCTGGGGTGTGGTCCAGTGACTCAGGTCTAATCCCTAGCACGCCTCCTGAGCTGCTGCAATCGTTTATCACGCCTTCGCAGGCGTGCGTCCAGGAATGACGTCTCTCCTTCACTCTCATCCGAGCCACCTGTCTCCCGGCTAATCTCCTCTCCCTCGGCCGGCACCTGAGACAGTGCCAGAGGGGAGGGGCCTGGAGAGGGAGGCCTGGCTGACTCCTCTTCCTCATGCTCGGAGCTTTCTTCCTCCGATGGGACAGGCTCAGAGGGCGGGGCCACAACATCCAGGCCGAAAATGGGTGTGGGGAGGCTGCCCCGTTTTGGCTGCCAGAGACACAGGTGGGCCAGTCCTTTGCTATTTCCAGGCTGGCCCCGTAGGTCAGATTTAAGCACCCCACAGGCCAGTAGTAGGATTCAAAAAATTTTACTACCGGTTCCCCGTCTTGAATAGCTCCGGTAAGAATGAGAATGCTTCTGGATACAGTAAATATATATTTTTATTTAATTTGCAAAATATATAAAACAGTGAATTTGAGAGTGGATCTGCTGCAGACTGAAATGTTGGAATAGCCATATTCGGCGTTTTCTCACGCTGGCGCAGAGACCAAATAGCTAGCGAAATCTGGCCACATATACACCCAGCAGTGGCCCTGGTCATTTAGAACTTAGAATAACAAGAGTTGGAAGGCACCTTGGAGGTCTTCTAGTCCAACCCCCTGCTTAGGCAGGAAACACTATAACACTTCAGACAAATGGTTGTCCAATCTCTTAAAAACTTCCAGTGTTAGAGCATTCACAACTTCTGGAGGCAAGTTGTTCCACTGATTGTGTGTGGACATTCGTAATGTCAAATCCTTTCCTCCCTAATATTGAACCCATTTTTCCTTCTGCAAAAATTTCAGCTTTTTTTTTTTTTTTAGTTTTTCCACTCAAATGATTGTAGTTTTGAGTTGAAAATTACCTTGGGAAAAGTACGTTTCTTGTATATTTCCCATGGCTTTTCATTTCACCACTGAAACTCTAGGCAAGGGAAGATTTGAATATACAGGCAGTCCTCAACTTATGACCCTAATTGAACCCAAAATTTCGGTTGCTAAGCGCGACAGCTGTTACCTGAGCTTTGCCCCATTTTATGACCTTTCTGGCTACATTTGGAAAGTGAATCACTGCAGTTGTTAGGTCAGTGACACGGTTGTTAAATGAATCTGTCTTCCCACATGGAACTTCGCTTGTCATAAGGTCACATGACCGTGGGATTGTGCAACCGTCATAAATACATGATCACGTGACTATGGGGATACTGCAATGGTTGTAAGTGTAGAAAATGGATATAAATTACTTTCTTGTTATAACCTGGATCACTGAATGGCTGTAAGTTAAGGACTTCCTGTACCGAGTTAAATTATTTCCTTGACCCACATAATATATTCACTGGTGACTAATCAAACAGTCTGCGTGGGAATAACACACTAAATCCCCCAAAATCTAACCGAGATTCACCTTAATTTAATAGCAATAGCAATAGCACTTACATACCGCTTCATAGGACTTTACAGCCCTCTCTAAGCAGTATACAGAGTCAGTATATGGCCCCCAACAATCTGGGTCCTCATTTTACCGACCTCGGAAGGATGGAAGCCCGAGTCAACCCTGAGCCTGGTGAGATTCGAACTGCCAAACTGCTGGTAGCCAGTGATCAGCAGAAGTAGCCTGCAGTACTGCACTCTAACCACTGCACCAGCGCTGCTCATTAAATTAGTTTTTGGCGTAAATTACTTCATTGAACTGGATATTACTACTAGATTTGTGTCGGGAGCATTGAAGAATTTCGGGGTGACATCACTCTCTGGGGGACACCAAGACGGGCTCCTTTCATGTTTAATTTAATTTAATTTAATTTAATTAGTTCAATTTATATGCCGCCTTTCTCCGGAGACTCAGGGCGGCCCAACAAAGTGGCACCCATCTATTTTTCTTGAGGTTGCCTGCTTTCGAACTGCTGGGTTGGCGGGAGTTGGAGCAAGTAATGGGAGCTCGTCCGCCACATGGCAGCAACCGGGTCTCGAACACCAATTGGCAGCCCAGCATCATAGCCATATGAGCCACTGCGCTCCTATTGGATTAAATGAATACATTGGGTGAATCTAGCCGTCCATTTTCCTTTTTCTAGGCATGGTTTGATGTTCGACTTGGCTCCCGAAAGAGGGATTTTTACAACCGCTAAACCGCTACGTTGACATGGCAGCTGGGTCAAAAAAGTCAGAGGGAAAAAAATTATATAAGAAAATATAACTCTAGGAAAACATTATTTTAGCTCTCTTCATACATTCCTCATATCTGATGGCTTAAAATGGCGTTTTTTCAAACTTGGCCACTTTAAGATGGGTGGACTTCAACTCCCAGAATGCCCCAGCCGGCCATGTCAGTCTGGCTTTAGGCTGGTTGCCAGCTAGGGAATTCTGGGAGTTGAAGTCCAACCATCTTAAAAGTGGCCAAGTTTAAAAAACATTGGCTTAAAATGAGGCAGCACACAAGGGCTCCACCCTGGCCTTCTCCCTCTCACTCATGGTTTCAGATCCTCCCGTTGGGGACATTTCAAACCATGTTCAGCTGAGGTGACAAATCACCTTAGAACTGCCGATTGTATTGCCTCATATTCAACTGAACGCAAATCGTGTGTTATTTTCCCAAACCTCGGTTACACAAGGTTGAGCCTGCTCATTGGGTTAATCTATTATCAGTGTTTAGATAATTCAGTGAGCCATAAGCTTACTACAGGTAGTCCTCGACTTACGACCGCAATCGAGCCCAAAATTCTGTGGCTAAGCGAGACAGATAAGCGAGTTTGGCCCCATTTTACGACTTTTCTTGCCACAGTGGTTCAGGGAATCACTGCACTTTTTCAGTTAGTGACACGGTTGTTAAGTGAATCTGGCTTCCCCCATTGACGTTGCTTGTCAGAAGGTCGCAAAAGAGGATCACGTGACTTGGGGGATGCTGCAACCGTCATAAATATTAAGTCAGTTGCCAAGCGGTCGAATTTTGATCACGTGACTGGGTATACGGCAGCGGTCGTAAGGGTGAAGTACAGTCATAAGTCACTTTTTCCAGGGCCGCTGTCATTTCGAACGGTCACTAAACAAATTGTTGTAAGTCAAGTATTGCCTGTACTATAAGGTAGATTGAGGCACACACAGTATTGTAACCAACCACGGTTAACCAGTAACCAACCACGGTTAAAACCAACCAAGGTTAGGGAATGCATGCTGGGTAACCTGGCAAGATTTGAAAGGAGTGGTAGTTTAGGCAACAGAAAAGTGGACATCAAGAGAAAAAGCTCTGCTTTTTTCCCCAATTTTAATGAAAAAACAATAATAATTGACTGGCACGGCGGGTGCGCTGCATCGAAAGCAGATGGCTCTGTTCTTTGTGAAGGAAGTTTATTGTTTTGCATTTGCGACTGTACATGGAACACACAAAATAAAATTTAAGGTGAAATAAAACGAGAGAGGGCCCCGATTACGAGATGTGGCAGCAGAGGTACAAATCCCAAATTCCTTTGGGCGAACCACCTTTCCCAAAACGTGAATTGATTTTTCAGGCTTTCATTTGCCGGGTAAATTTAGCTACCTTGGATGACCGGAGGGGAAGATCTAAAACGATATTTCTCAAAGTCGGCAAACGTTCTGACAGGTGGACTTCAACTCCCAGAATCCCCCAGCCAGCTGTGCTGGCTGGGGAATTCTGAGAGTTGAAGTCTACCTGTCTGGAAATTTGAGACACGCTGGTTTAAAATCATCTTTTCCAGCTCTTTTCTGAGAACTTACACAGTATTTAAATACCACCAGCCTAAGCAAACTTCTCCTTTTTCCTTCCCTCACATCACCAGGAATTTTCATTTAACAAACTCAAAATACTTTTGTGTTAGTAACACTTAGAGGCTGCCGAAGGGGCCTGGGCATGCAGGCCAAATTATCCACTTCAAGTATAAAACGGCTCTCTTTTCATATTTCATATTTCATATTTTCATATTTGTGTGTATCTGCGTGGGTTCATTTTCCTATGTGGAAAATGGGAACTGGTACGTAGGTGCGATTAGCATGTGGCAGTTGTATTCCTGGGACACACAAAAAAAAAACGCAGCAAAGTGCGGGATTTCAGACACAACAGTCAAGATGGATGCAAGCCGAACTGTCTCTGTTTTACGCACGGCAGTTCTCCGAAGTCTGCAAGCTGCAAACTTACAAGGAGCCTGAAAGATTGCAAGAAATTCATATCTGCTTTTTTTCCCCCCCGCCCTCCCACTCCCATTGCAGAGAGTCTGCTGAAATTAAAGCTATTTTCCTACAAACACTTTTGAATTTTGATTTTTTTCCCCTCCCCTCTCCTAGTTTTCTTTCAAAGCTCACGTTTTTCACCTCGTGGCCAATTTTTCTAAGATTATTTGGCTTCACAACCCAGGCACGGAAGATTTTATATCATATATTTCAACCGATTTGAGAAGAAGAAAAAAACCAACACTTTTAACTCTTATTTCCTATTCTTTCCAGCCCCCTCAAAACAGAACGAAAGCAGGATGAGTAATAATACTTATTTCGGTAGAGGGGCAGGGAGGTCTCGGATCGAAAATCCCTCAGATCCCCACTTTGCACCGGCTTTCAAGCCGGGCAGGGTTTGTGCAATGGAAGCGATAAAATGTCATCCTGCGCAACAACAAAAGGAGCCTTGAACCCAGGATGAGGGAGTCGGGGTTAATACTGGTTGTAGCTTTTGAGAGTCGCACCCGGAGCCAAGGAGAGAGTCGCAAGAAGCTTCTGTACAACTTTGAGGCTCGAAGCCTGGCCGTTTTAAGAGAAAAGAAACGAAACAAGAACCAAAAAGAAAAGAAAAGGAAAAAAAAAAAGAAATTGCTGTCCCACATTCTCACAATAAGCTGGCTGGTCTCGGTAAACTTTCCATCCGGTGCCATCCCGGTGGCCTCCGTTCCCAGCCGCTGCTACTTCCGACAGGTGTGCAGGCAGCCGGGCCCTCCTGGATGATGTACAGAGCACAAAGCAAACTTGGCGACAAAACAGGACAAAAATCTGCTGGCGGTACTTGCGGGAGTCCGTGGCAGAACTTGCGGGGCCCTGAATCGGCTGTGGCTGCTCCCCTCGGAGACGATTTCAGCAGAACTGTAAGGAGGAGGAAGGGGGTTTAGAGACAGAATCGGTTGTAGTGGAAAGGCTCTTCTGCTGAATGGGAAGGGGGTGGGGGGTCCCCACAGATGCACCGAACGGGTGTGGGGGTTTTTTTCCTTGTGGAATGCTGGGCTTGTAGTTCAGTTGTGGTGGTGAAGGATTGGTAAGAAAAGGATGGAATTCAGGATGGAGAGGGGAAGTTAGCCAGGAGGTAGTGACCGGATCCCTTCCTTTCCTTTCCTTTCCTTTCCTTTCCTTTCCTTTCCTTTCCTTTCCTTTCCTTTCCTTTCCTCCTTTTCTTTCTTTTCCTTTTCATCTTTCCTTTCCTTCTTTCCTTTCCTCCTTTCCTTTCCTTCTTTCCTTTCCTCCTTTCCTTTCCTCTTTTCTTTCCTTTCCCCCTTCCCTTTCCTTTTCCTTCTTTCCTCTTCCTTTCCTTTCCTTTCCTTTCTTACCCTTCTATTTTGCTTCCTTCCCTTCCCTTCCATTCTCCCTTTATAACTTTATAATTCAAGGCAGTGAACATATTCAATACTCCTTCCTCTTCATCTCTCTCCCTCCTTCCTTTCCCCCCTCTCTTCTTTCCCTCCCTCTCTCTCCATCTTCCTCCTTCCTTCCCTCCCTCCCTTTCTTTTATTCTCCCTTTATAATTCAAGGCTGTGAACCTATCCAATACTCCTTCCTCCTCCTATTTTCCCCACAACAAAACCCTGTGAGGTGAGTTGAACTGAAAGAGAGCGACTGACCCCAAGTTAACCAGCTGGCCTTTATGCCTAAGGAGGGACTAGAACTCACTGTCTCCTAGTAATTGGCTCAAAGTCACCCAGCCAGCTTTCATGCCTAAGGCGGGACTAGAAGTCATCATCTCCTGGTGATTGGCCTAAAGTCACCCAATCAGCTTTCGTGCCTAAGGCAGGACTAGAATTCATCATCTCTTGGTGATTGGCCCAAAGTCACCCAGTTGGTTTCTATGCCCAAGGTGAGACTAGAATTCACCGTCTCCTAGTTTCTAGACCAACACCTTAATCACTACACCAAACTGGTTCCATGAATGAAGCTCAATGACGTGTCCTTGGCTGAAATTACATATATGACATGCTGAGGCCATCCCAACAAAGTGATTCACAATTCTACCCGTTTTAAAGGTAAAGGTTTCCCTCGCACATCTGTGCTAGTCATTCCCGACTCTAGGGGGCGGTGCTCATCTCCGTTTCAAAGCCGAAGAGCCAGCGCTGTCCGAAGACGTCTCCGTGGTCATGTGGCCGGCATGACTCAATGCCAAAGACGCACGGAACGCTGTTACCTTCCCAACAAAGGTGGTCCCTATTTTTCTACTTGCATTTTTTACGGGCTTTCGAGCTGCTAGGTTGGCAGAAGCTGGGACAAGTCACGGGAGCTCACCCCATTACACGGCACTCGGGATTCAAACCACTGAACTACCAACCTTTCGATCAACAAACTCAGCGTCTTAGCCACTGAGCCACCGTGTCCCTTTTTAGGAGCCCTCAAAATGTCACCAAGGAAGATCCAAGCATTTGCGTTAAAATGTCCTATTGTAATACAACCAGCAGATACACCTGCCTGAAGATAATCAGCCAACTCTGGAGACTTTGGATCCTGGCCTTGGTACATCAATACTGTGCAGTTTTCCCTCCATGAAAATTAAGGTGTGGCTTCTCGGTCACAGCTTCAGAGCAGGCTAACATTTACATGGACTTCTCGGATTCCTTTTTTAATCCGTTTTGTAAGATTGAAAAACGAAACTGACTGCCTAATTCAGTACAGGAATGGAATTGCTGCTGTTCTGACCCAGCTTCTGTGATCCGCGATCGCACGCTGCCTCCGCAATATCATGACAAACCCTCTGGCGTGAACTCAAAGGATTCCTTGAATTAGGAATGCCGGCAGCCCCAGCAAAGTTTCTCTCACAGGCTAACAAGTCCGGCCGGCCGGAAGATGAATAGTTGTCTGCTACACCTATTCCTCTCTCTAACCCTAACTCTGCCTTTTATCCCCAGAGCTAGGGTGGGGCCTCGCTAGCAGTGGCGGCTCTTCTGTCCCAAGGACCGTCTCATAGATTTCCACTGCTCTCCTCTCCTCTTGTTGTGACTCCGACCCCCGAGGCCGACTTATCGGAGGGAGAAGGCTCCGAACATGAAGGAGAGGAGTTGGCCAGGCCTCCCTCTCCAGGACCCTCCTCTCTGGCAATGCCTCAGGTGTCTCCCGAAGGAGAAGAGATTGGCCAGGAGCCAGGTATCTCCTCGCAGTCGGATAGTGATGGAGATAAGTCTTGGCTGGATCCACGCCAGCGTCGGAGAGACAGGCGCACGCAGCAGAAAAGGAGGCGTGCCAGAGATTAAGCTGAGTCACTGGACCACACCCCACAGGGGATAAAAGGGGGTGAGGTGGCCATTCAGACTCTGTGATGGACAAAACTAAACTACTAGCGAGTCACATTGTATCTTTGAAACAACGTTATCTGCCTTGGTTTTAATATGGACTGGACTTGACAATTCTTGAACTGTGTGTATCTTGTTTGGGTTTATCTGTCGGAGGAACAACCCCTCCCTCTATGAGTAAAGTTCTTGGCAAGCAGCTACTGGGTTGCTGCCAATCCTCTTATCGAAAGAATTTGTTGTCTGCCAGTTTTATTTAACCTCTGGCTGTCTGTTTGTGTGCGTGTGTGAGACGGGGACAGAACACCTCTGCCTTCTGGACATCCGGGCATCAGGCACTGGACCCAGCTGTTCCTCCTCTTCCTCATCAGCCAGAGGTTCTGCCTGTCTCTCTCTCTCTCTCTCTGCCAGCTCCATTCTCTCTTCCCCTCAGAGCTCCCAGGTTGCCCTGATGCCCACCCTGACTCCCACACCTCCTCCTCCTCCTCTGATTTAGCTGCTGGAGGGGCCGGCGGCCGACAGACCACAACAATTGCTTACCTTCCAGCGATTTCCACATTCGTTACATACCACAAAGGTTGTCATTGGCTCATCCGAACTGCGGGTTTGCACCTGTGGGAATCAAAGACAGGATAAGCTTCCGCCAGGTTGCCGATCTCCAAAACTGTCAAATCGTCATCTTTCCTCACCCCTTCCACGTATCACAACTACAGGTAGACCTCGACTCACAACAGTTTGTTTAATGACCGTTCAAAGTTACGACGTCACTGGAAAAAGTAACTTACGGCCATTTTTCACAATGACGACCTTGGCAGCCACAATCATGTGATCAAAATTCAGACGCTTGGCAACAGGTTCATATTTATGATCGTCGCAGTGTCCCAGGGTCATGTGATCAACTTTCGTGACCTTCTGATAAGTCACGTCAGTGGGGAAACCAGATTTACTTAACAACCGGGTTACTAACATATCAACTGTAGTGATTCACTTAAAAACGACCTTGTGGCAAGAAAGGTCGTAAAACGGAGCATAATTCGCTTAACAAATGTCTCACTTAACAACTGAAATTTTGTGCTCCATTGTGGTCGTACGTCGAGGACTGCCAGTATTCCTGCCCCATTTAAGATTTTTCAATTCCATTTTTATGATTTTAACTTTTATCATGTTTTTTAGCATTTGCAGATCGCCCAGGATCCCTCTGGGGAAGGGAGATTTGAATGGTTTTAAATCTCACCTGAGTGTAGGTGCAGTTCTTTTTCTTGCACTTGCCACAAGTGAAAAGGTCTGTCTGGGTCCCTCCGGTTTTGGCCATCTGATGCTCCCGGATGGCTTCCTTGGTCATGGCTTTGCGGATCTCTTTCAGTTCATTGCTGGCCATTTCCTGTCCAGGAAACAACGCAAAGGGTCACTTCACTACACGGCAGGCAAAAACAGGGCAGCAAGCGCCGAAGCTGGAAACACAGAAACACTTTCAACATTTGCTTAATTCAACACAGAATTATGGGGCTGGAAGGGACCTTGGAGGTCATCTAGTCCAAACCTCTGCTCACGCAGGAGACTGGCTCATGCCATCCTGGATAAGTGGCTGTCCAAACTCTTCTTAAATATCTTCAGTGATGGAGCACCCACAATTTCTGGAGGGAAATTGTTCCGCTGATTAATTGTTCTCACCGTCAGGAAATTTCTTAGTTCTAGATTGGATCTCTCTTTAACAAGCTTCCATCTACTGCTTCTTGTCCTGCCTTCAGGTGCTTTGGAGAGTAAGTCAATCCTCTCTTCTCTGTGATAGCCCTTGAAGTATAATGGTACTTTGGTACTCATCCTTAATTGGTCCCGGGAGGCACAATGAGTACCAAAAACGATGAGCACCAAACAAATTTAATCCATCAGAAATAATATAGTGAGCCCCAAGGCAGCTGACAGCGGTATATTGTAGCTTGTGAATTGAGTACCCGGACAAAATGTTCATGTCAAAATGCATTGAGTATCAAACTCAACAAGTTTCAAAGCTGTTGAGTACCACGGTACTGGAAGTCGGTTAACATGCCCCCCTTTAATCCTTCTCTAAGATAGGTTAAACCAGGAATCTCCAAACGTGGCAACTTGAATAGAATAGACTTGAATAGAGAATAACAGTTGGAAGGGACCTTGGAGGTCTTCTAGTCCAACCCCCTGCTTAGGCAGGAAACCCTACACCACTTCAGACAAATGGTTATCCAACATCTTCTTAAAAACTTTCAGTTTTGGAGCATTCCCAACTTCTGGAGGCAGGTTGTTCCACTGATTCATTGTTCTCACTGTCAGGAAATTTCTCCTTAGTTCTAAGTTGCTTCTCTCCTTGATGAGTTTCCATCCATTCCTTCTTGTCCAACCCTCAGGTGCTTTGGAGAATAGCTTGACTCCCTCTTCTTTGTGGCAGCCCCTCAGATATTGGAACGCTGTTATCATGTCTCCCTAGTCCTTCTTTTCATCAAACTAGACATACTCAATTCCAGCAACTGTTCTTCGTATGTTTTAGCCTTCAGTCCCCTAATCATCTTTGTTGCTCTTCTCTGCACGCTTTCTAGAGTCTCCACATCTTTTTTACATCGTGGCAACCAAAACTGGATGCAGGATTCCAAGTGTGGCCTTACGAAGGCATTATAAAATGGTATGAACACTTCAGGTGATCTTGATTCTATCCCTCTGTTGATGCAGCCTAGAACTGTGTTGGCTTTTTTGGCAGCTGCAGCACATGGCTGGCTCTTCTGGACTTCAACTCCCAGAATTCCACAGCCAAATAGCAATAGCACTTAGACTTATATACCGCTTCACAGTGCTTTACAGCCGTCTCTGGGCAGGTTATAATGGCAGCATCTTGGTCTCAGCAATCTGGGTCCTTATTTTACTGACCGCGGAAGGATGGAAGCCTGAGTCAATTTGTGAGCCAGTGAGGACTGAACTCCAGGCTGCGGGCAGAGTCAGCCTGCAATACTGCATTCTAATCATGGTGCCATCATGTTTTTAAACAAGAATGGAAATTAGTCCTCCCAACCTCCTCAGTCTCCAAGAGACCTCCAGTCCTCTGCTGAATTAGGCAGCCAGGGATTCTGGGAGTTGAAGTCCACAAGTCATAAAGACAACAAGTTTGGAGAGCCCTGGGCTAGACATACCTAGCTCCCATAAGCAATGGCAGTTCTGATCTCCAACTACCTAAACGACTGGCCAGGATTGGCTTATCTCAGCCCCTGCAGATCTGAATAACTGCAAAGATCATCAGATACTGACAAGAGTCACTCCTTCCAGTCATTTTACCCTTTTTATGGATGCTTGTGGCTTTACTACATTGTATGGATTGTATTTTAACCACTCTTACTTTTTTTTTCACTTTTTATTTATTTTATTTATATAACATTCAATTTCCATCGAACAGTGTGTGATCTGGGTACAGTTATTTTTAAACAGTCATAATCCACATATCTGTTGTAGTATTCATCACAATAATATTGATAATATAACAATGTAATAACGGTACTTAACATCATCTTCTTTAACAACTCTCCACATTAACATTTCCTCTTTTTATGTCTCCTCCTTTCTAACTTCTGTTTCTATTGTCTAGCCATTGATAAAATATATCCCATATCAAAAAATATTCACTTTCTTCTTTATCCTTAATAGGGAGCGTTAATCTATCCATTTCTGCACATTCTAATATTTTCTTAATTAACTTCTCCTCTGACGGAATCTCATAGTTTTTCCATTGCTGTGTAAATACAATTCTAGTTGCAGTTAGTATATGTAAAACCAGATATGTAATCCTTTTATCATATTTTTCTGGTAGAATGCCCAACAAAAATATCTCTGGTTTCAAGTCTATGAGTTGCTTTGTCATTTTTTCCAACCAAGTATGTATTTTCGTCCAATATTTTTTATCTTTTGGGCATGTCCACCACATATGGAAGTATGAGCCAGATGGTTGATTACACTTCCAGTATTCAGTAGATCAATCTTTATACAAACCACTCTTACTTTTTTGCTAATGCAGATGTGATCACATCAGAAGTGGTGCAGATGGATTAAATAAATAAACAAATGGAAATGACTAATACAGTGTTTCTCAACCTTGGCAACTTTACGACTGGTCCTCGCCTTTATGACCATTGCAGCATCCCCACAGACACATGATCAAAATGCTTTAACAGGTGTGGATTCGAAGGGTTTGGCAATCGGTATATATTTAGAATAGCTACAGCCACTTGCGAACTTCCAAGGGGGCCAATGGGGAAAGGCACATTCTCTTTAATGACTACAGCAAAAAAAAATGGTCATAAACACTCATTGAACGTTTACACTGGAGACGTTCCGATTCCAATTGTGGTCATAAACAGGAGTTAGTTGAAAGATGGGCAAGTCTATAAATCTTTTAAATAAATCAATAAACAAATGCAGGGGCCTTTTTAAAAACAAAGTGGGCACCTCTTCCCTAGATACAGGTAGTCCTCGACTTACAACAGTCCATTTAGTGACCGTTCAAAGCTATGACAGCACTGAAAAAAGTGACTCAGCACCGTTTTTCACACTTACGACCGTTGCAGCATCCCCAGGGTCCCGTGATCAAAAGTCCGGCGCTTGGCAACTGACTCGTATTTATGACGGTTGCAGTGTCCCCGGGTCATGTGATCCCCTTTTGCGACCTTCTGACAAGCCAAGTCAACGGGGGAAGCCAGATTCACTTAACAACCGGGTTACTAACTTAGCCACTGCAGTGATTCACTTAACAACTGAGGCAAGGAAGGTTGTAAAATGGGGCAAAGCTCACTTAAGCCATGTTCTCACTTGACAACAGACATTTTGGGCTCAGCTGTGGTTGTCAGTCGAGGACTACCTGTGTTTGCACAGCAAAAGAATCGAATGGATCCAATCCAGATGTTTTAGCCTTCCCAGGTCTCTCCCCGTCTCACCTCTGAGGTCATCACCGCGATTTGTTCAGGGGTGATCACTCCACACAAGACATTCTTTCGGAGGTCAGGGTTCTTGGAGTCCTTGAGGTTGGAGAGGCGGCTCCTGATCCGATTTTTGTACTTCAAATCTGTGTTCTTCACATCTTGGAATATAAGTTCAGGTGCCGTTAAGGACCATCAACACAGAGAAATGGGTGTTTACTGTAGCTCCAAGCCAGAATCTTATCAACACATCAGGAATGTCTACGTAAAGGTAATGGTAAAAGTTCCCCTCGCATATATGTGCGAGTCGTTTCAAAGCCGAAGAGCCAGTGCTGTCCGAAGACGTCTCCGTGGTCATGTGGCCGGCATGATTCAACGCCAAAGACGCACGGAACGCTGTTACCTTCCCACCAAAGATGGTCCCTATTTTTCTACTTGCATTATTTTTTACATGCTTTCGAACTGCTAGGTTGGCAGAAGCTGGGACAAGTAACGGGAGCTCACCCCGTTACGCGGCAGCACTAAGGATTCGAACCGCTGAACTGCCGACCTTTTGATCGACAAACTCAGCATCTTAGCCACTGAGCCACCACACCGAAAATTGTCTATGTACTCACACACTAAGAGAGGGTCTTCAAAGTTTCAGGATTGAGATAGGTATTTTATCAAGGGTCACCATAAATGAACAGAAGACGTGATGGATGGATGTCCAAAGGTGCTTTTTCAGGAGGCAACTGGACTTTCTGGTTTTTTTTCTTTGAAGACGTTTCGCTTCTCCTCCAAGAAGCTTCTTCAGCTCTGACTGGATGGTGGGGAAGGGAAGGATGTATATTCCTTGCAGATAGCTGGTCATTTGCATCCTTTTAATTTAGTGAGTCGGTGAGGCTACTTGGAGGTTCATCTGGGTCACCTGAGTAGTGCAAATGGACGTGAAACCCTCTTGACTGCAGAATGTTTCTCTGCCCGGTGTCCGTTCATTGTTGAAGACAGGCACAGGTTGTTGGGGATGAGTCTGGGGTTGTCTGCATCTCCAGTGAGAGGCGAAACGTCTTCAAAGAAAAAAAACAAGAAAAGTCCAGTTGCCTCCTGAAAAAGCACCTTTTGGGACAACCATGACCTGGATGACTGAGAATCTCCATACACCTTTAACACCTGCTGAAGTTTTCACATGCATAATATCTTTACAGGCAGCAGGAAATATAATCCACGTGCCTAAGAAACTGAGCAAAACCAACAGAAGAGAATCATTTCTGGCGCAGGAGTAAATTGTGGGGTCCTTGGCGCTCACTGAGCTGGGATGTTTTTGTTCTGCCCCAGCTACGGACCCCAAAGACCACGGCACACACAAACCTTAGTACAAACCTTAGTTTACTAATTTAAATCAGTCTTTTCTGAACAAAGGCTGTTAATTTAACTTCATTAACAGCCAACAAGAATTCAAAGAATAATAAATCAATTCTGAGGCACAATATTTCAGATAACCGTAATCTTACTGTGGTTGGCAGAATGCCCAGAAGCAATTTGCAGGAAAACTGATGAGAGAGAAACAAGAGCCAAATCAAACGTTTTCTGGAATCAAGACGCGAAGGAATTTGAACAAAGTTGAATCAGCTACTAACTGCACAGCCTGCTGACGGGCCACAACAGTTTTCTTGCAGACATTATAACCCAACTAGGTAACATCATCAGTGCTAGAAGGGAGTGTGGGGCGTGATGGGGGGGGAGGAGGAGGAGGCCTGTGGGATCCTCAATGTCTCTTGAGCTGTATCTGAGGTTGATTTCTTGCAGTAATTTCATTACCCAACTAAGGTCATCAGCAATATTAGAAGGGAATGGGCTCTCATTTTATGTATGTTTGGTTTCCTTATCCAGGTAGAATTTGCTCTCTCATTTCCCCTTACTACTGTATTTCCCCGAAAATAAGACCGGGTCATATATTAATTTTTGCTCCAAATGATACATTAGGGCAAGGGTGTCAAACTCAAGGCCCGCAGGCCGGATCCCACTCATGGGGTGCTTCGATCTGGCTCACGGGGCTGTCCCGGAAACAGCGAAGGACTGGCCCGTGATGCCTCTGCCAGAGAAAACGGAGCTCGCGAGAGCCGCAGACGGTCGTAGCGAGCTCCATTTTCACTGGCAAAGGGTTACCGGAAGTCATCGCAGCCAAAAACAGAGCTCAGGAGCCCATTTTCACTGGCAGAGTCAGGGCCACCATAGGCACCCCGGACATAAGTGACATCAAGCTGGCTTTGCCCACCTGGCTACACCCAACCTGGCTCCCCGAGGTCAAACACAACCCTGATACGGCCTTCAATGAAATCGAGTTTGACATCTCTGCATTAGGGCTTATTTTCCGGCTAGGTTTTTAACTTTGGGGAAATACGGTACTATATGTGCCCGTCTGGCTGATGATGGGGCTTATTTTGGGGGTAGAGCATCCTGAAAAACCATGCTAAGACTTATTTTCCAGTTAGGTCTTATTTTGGGGGAAATACAGTAGACCTGATGATGTTACTAAGCTTAGTAATGAAATGTCTGTAAGAAAACAACCAGGCTCAGAGAGCACCAAGGATCCTACCGATAAAAACACAAATATAAAAAGGGTTTAAAAGAATTAACGAGACTTACTGTAAATAGAGACCAAGGAGAAAGATGGCACGGGGTGGAGGTCTTCTCTAATACCCCAGCAACAACCTCCAGCAAAAAGCATCCCCATTGCCCCCCCCCCCCCCCCCCCCCCCCCCCCCCAGCCAGCCAGGTTTTAAGGCTTTTCCAGAAAGCCAAAAAGGTGGAGGGGGATCTCACTGAATTCTGAATTCCACTGAGTAATCATTCACATTGTCAGGAAATTTCTCCTTTGTTATAGGTTGCTTCTCTCCTTGATGAGTTTCCATCCGTTGCTTCCTGTCCTGCCTTCAGGTGCTTTGGAGAATAAGTTGACTCCCTCCTCTTTGTGGCAGCCCCTGAGATATTGGAAGACTGCTATCATTTCCCCTCATAGTTGTTATTTTCATTAAACTAGACATACACAGTTCCTGTAACCATCAACCATCATATGTTTTAGCCTCCAGCCCCCCTAATCATCTTCGTTGCTCTTCTCTGCACTCTTTCCAGAGTCCCCACATCTTTTTTATATCATGGCAAGATATACAGAGTCTGGAAAAAGGGCTATAAAAATAAGAATTAAGAGATTGCATTTGAAATAACCTCTGATCAGAATCCTGTATTTTCTTTTCTTTTTTTATTTTATGTGATACCCTCAGGAGTCTGGGATTCAATTTTCAAGGCCTTCAACACACTTAATGAGGGTAAGAGGACTGCAGGCCAAATCGTCTGGACAATATCAGATTACTTACAGTATTTTTCAGACTATAAGATGCACGTAAATTTAGAAGAGAAAAGAACAAAAAAATGTTTTTGGCCTACCTTTTTTCAGGCCTTTTCCAGGCTTTATTCGGGCTGTTTCCGGGGCTTTTTTTCAGCCCATTTTGGAGGCTTTTCTCGGCCCGTTTTCAGGGTTTTTTTCAGCCCATTTTCAAGGCTTTTTGGGGGGCTGTTTGGGGGGATTTTTGGCCCTTTTTTGAGGCTTTTTTCGGCCATTTTTTCAGCTTTTTTCGGCCCATTTTGGAGGCTTTTCTCGGCCCGTTTTCAAGGCTTTTTTCAGCCCGTTTTCAAGGCTTTTGGGGGGCTGTTTTTGAGGATTTTTTGGCCCTTTTTCGGGGCTTTTTAGGCCCATTTTTGAGGCTTTTCTCACCCCTTTTTCAAGGCTTTTTTTCAGCCCGTTTTCAAGGTTTTTGGGGGGCTGTTTTTGAGGATTTTTTGGGGCCCCTTTTTGGGGCTTTTTTCAACCTGTTTTGAGGGTTTTTTCGGCCCGTTTTTTTCTGGAAATGGGCCAAAAATTGGCCAAAAAAAGGCCTGAAAAAGGCTGAAAAAAGGCCCGAAAACAGGGTGTGTGGAGGCAAAAAAAATGGCTGGCGGGTGGGTGGGGCTCCCGCAATATTCGGCCTATAAGACGCACAGACATTTTCACCCCCTTTTGGGAGACAAAAAGGTGCGTCTTATAGTCCGAAAAATACGGTATCTCTTCGCTTTGGTTTACTGATACCACAAACAAGGAAAGGATATAGTCTTCAATCTGGCCAGCAAGTTGCTCGCAGTCGGCACCAATGGCCACGTAGTCATCTGTAAGAGGAAGGGGCACAATAGGAATATTTAAGAGTAGGTATTACAGGGAGTCCTCCATTTACAACAGTTCATTTAGCGACCGTTCAAAGTTACAACGGGATTGAAAAAAGTGACTTACGATCGTTTATCACGCATATGACCACTGTAACATGCCAATGGTCACGTAATCAAAATTCAGATGCTTGGCAACTGGTTCATATTTATGATGGCTGCAGCGTCCCGGGGGTCACGTGATCCCTTTTTATGACCTTCTGTCAAGTAAAGTCAATGGGGAAGCCGGATTCACTTAACAACCGTGTTACTAGCTTAACAACTGCAATGATTCGCTTAAGAACTGTGCAGAGGTGGGTTTCAGCAGGTTCTGACCAGTTCTGGAGAACCGGTAGTGGAAATTTTGAGTAGTTCAGAGAACCGGTAAATACCACCTCTGACTGGCCCCGCCCCCATCTGTTCTCTGCCTCCCCAGTCTCCCGAGCTGATCAGGAGGAAATGGGGATTTTGCAGTATCCTTCCCCTTGAGTGGGAAGGGAATGGAGATTTTACAGTATCCTTCCCCTGCCACGCCCACCGGGCCATGCCACACCCACCAAGCCACACCCACAGAACCGTTAGTAAATATTTTGAATCCCACCACTGGAACTGTGGTAAGAAAGGTCATAAAATGGGGTGAAATCCCCCTGTCTCATTTAGCAGCATAAATTTTGAGCTCAGTTGTCGTCAACTAGTAAAATACTTTATATCAAATTGGCCAATGAAGCCATCTATCAAACATCATTCCATTGGTTATAGCCAAAGAGAAAGCATTTTCCCAGCATCTGTTTTGTGTCTTCAAATTTGTACAACCAATAAACCTGGCATCTCTTGTCACTCAAATGTGAATCCTCCTCAGAGATGCCCAGCTGCAAAGCAAGGTATGGAGTCCTTGGTGCTCTGTGAGCTTTGGCTGTTTTCTTGCAAGACGTTTTATGACCCAACTAGGTAACATCATCAGTGCTAGAAGGGAGTGGGGCTTGCTCTTTTTATACCTACTGTATTTTTCAGAGTATAAGACGCCCCAGACTATAAGACGCACCTACCTTTTTTGGTGAGGAAAACAAGAAAAAGAAATCTGTGTCTGCCTCCCAGCAATTTTGCCTCCTTGCAGCAAACAGCCTGCTTTACTTTCATTTTCGTTTTCAGCATAACTTGATTAGCACAAGAAAAAAAAATCTGCTCCCAGAAATTTACCTCCTTGCAGCAAGCAGCAAAAGCCCACACAAAACAGCTGAGAGCAAAACAGCTGAGAGTCGGGAGGCTGATCCAATCAACTTGTGCTATTTAGGCTGTGCTGAAGCTGAAACGAGCTGTTTCTTCTTGCTGCTTGCTGCACGGAGGTAAACTGCTGGGAGGCAGAGGCCAAAGGATGGAGGCCAGTAGGTGGGCGGGGCTACATTCGGTGTATAACACACCCCTAAATTTTCACCCCCTTTTAGGGGGGAAAAAGGTCCGTCTTATACTCCGAAAGATATGGTATTTAGGTCATGAAACCTCTGCAAGATAACAACCAAACTCAGAGAGCATCAAGGACACCATTGAACTGCAAATATTCTATTGGTAAAGCAGGTGGTTGATACATATTTCTATACAAACGTTTAGGATGCAAACAATTAACTAATATTAAATTCGCTCTGAAAAGATCTTCCTTCCCCTGTCCTTACCACTGTTATAGAGGGACGATTGAAAATATCCTGTCGTATTGTATTACTGGGTGGTTTGGAAGTGTTATTGTTTCGGACAGGAAGACTGTGCAGAGAGTGGTGAGGACAGCAGAAACAATGATTAGAAGTTCCTTCTGTCCAGGACATGGCATATAAGTGATGCTTGAGCAGGGTCCACAGTATTGTCAGGGATGCTACACATCCTCTCCATGAGCAGTTTTTTTTGTTACCTTCTGGGAGGCGGTATCCAAAGTAAAACAACTAGATTCTGCAATAGCTTTATGCCATACCATATAGTATCAACCTTGTTAATTCTCAAGACTCTTATTTTCCACTATGTATTCTAAACTCTTCTGCTTGCAACAAAATACCTTATGCCACCAGGTTTGAAATTCTGAACCTGGAAAACTTAGAACCAAGCTGTCTTCAGTATGACCTAAGCATAGCTCATAAAATCATCTGCTACAATGTCCTACCTGTCAATGACTACTTCAGCTTCAACCACAACAATACACGAGCACACAATAGATACAAACTTAAGGTAAACTGCTCCAAACTCGATTGCAGAAAATAAGACTTCAGCAACAGAGTGGTCAATGCCTGGAATGCACTACCTGACTCTGTGGTTTCTTTCCCCAAACCCCTAAAACTTTAACCTAAGACTGTCTACTGTTGACCTCACCCCATTCCTAAGAGGTCTGTAAGGGGCGTGCATAAGAGCACCAGCATGCCTACTGTCCCTGTCCTAATGTTTCCTCTACTTGTATCTATTTTATGTATTCAATTTATGCTTATAATTATATAAATCACCTAATACGTTCTTGACAAATAAATAAAATAAAATAAATGGTCTGTGATTGAGAGAGAGGGGGAGGGAGGGAGGGAGAGGGAATGATAGATAGATAGATAGATAGATAGATAGATAGATAGATAGATAGATACTGATAGAGAGTGAGGGAGGGAGAGAAACAGACAGACAGACATATCTATAGATATATAGATATAGGTATGTATATATATGAGTGTGTGTAAATATGTGTATATATACAACAGGTGGCGCAATGGTTAGAGTGCAGTACTGCAGCTACTTCAGCTGACTGCTAGTTCAGCAGATCAGTGGATCAAATCTCACCGGCTCAAGGTTGACTCAGCCTTCCATCCTTCCGAGGTGGGTAAAATGAGGACCCAGATTGTTGGGGGCAATATGCTATTTAGTATACTGTAAGCCGCCCAGAGTCCTTGGAGAGTGGGCGGCATAGAAATATGATTAATAAAATAAATAAATAAAATAAATATGTGTATATGTATATGGGTGGATGAGTGGGTAAATGGATGGATGGAAAGATGATAGATAGATAGATAGATAGATAGATAGATAGATAGATAGATAGACAGACAGACAGACAGACAGACAGACAGACAGACAGACAGACAGACAAATAGATAATGATAGGTAGATTCTTTTGAGAGCGGACATCAGAATTTCATTTTTAATGTATGCCAGTGTGTACACAGAAAAAGTGACAACAGATCTTATCTTATCTTATCTTATCTTATCTTATCTTATCTTATCTTATCTAGTAGGGACTAAGATGAGCATTACATATACTGGTAGTTGTGTTCAGTGGCGTTTTTAGTACTAGGATACAAGGAAAAAATTGTTCACAGAAGGAAAAATCAAGAGAAATGAGCCACACTCATTTCTCCTGTGACTTACTGTCTGTCTGGAGAGCCGAAGTTAACATTTCTCGGCATTTGCCTCGAACTGTGTCGCATGAGATGGGCACCGGGGGGAAAGTAGTGATTTTGGGAGTGGTGGGAGTTTTTACGGACTCCTGTCTTTTGATGGAGCTGAAAGACAAAACCAACCAGTCAGAATTTTGAGGCATAATTCTGTATTTATAGAAGTTTCGAAGCCTCCCTATTTTACCTAGACAGTTATTTCTTCTTTCCAAGTCTTTGGAATATAGAAAATAATCTCCAAACCTTTCTTGCCGTGTTTCCCAGATCTGTGGATTACACGATTAAACTCACTAAAAGAGTTTAGATGAATTCAAGAAAAGAGTTTTGAAAATTCAACTTAGATAGTAAAAATGTAATCAGGAGAACATTAAAGGATTCAGACAATTGAGCGTGATGATGCCCATATATATATTTTTTTTACAAAATTGGCAAAAACAACTGCAGTGATTCACTTAACCGTGGCGAGAAAAGCCGAAATATAGGGCAAAACTCTGCTTTTTTTTTTCCAAGAGGCAATTGGACTTTCTGGTTTTTTTCTTTTGAAGACGTTTCGCTTCTCATCCAAGAGGCTTCTTCAGCTCTGACTGGATGGTGGGGAATGGAAGGATTTATACTCCTTGCATACAGCTGGTCATTTGCATCCTTTAAGAGGGTCGTTGAGGCCGCCTGGGGGTTTATCTGTGTCCTCAGGGTGAACTGAGTTGTTAAGAAACTCATCAGGACTAGATTCAGCAGTCCATCTGCATTTAAAAGACAAAGGCCGCTCTTTTGAAGACAGCAAATTCCACGTATATTGGGCAGAGAGGACCAGTGGTTTGAAAGAGAGGTCAAAGAGGCCCTCTACGTCAAAATTGAACAGCCCTCTCCCCACAGAGGGGGAGGGATACGACCTCCAGGGGTGAAATGCTACTGGTTCGGACCAGTTCGCCCGAACCGGTAATAATAAAAGCTACCAGTTTGGGAAAACCAGTAGTAAAAAAATCCAACAATCAGCTGTGCCACGTGATTTATATTCGCTAGAAAGAAGGAAATCCTGCGAATCTAAATTGTGCAGCATAGCTGTCCCCCCTTTCCTCGCTGTTCTACTTACCTTACAAAAGACTTCTTAAGCCTCCTTTTTCAGCGCTGCGTGGTACTGCCTGCGGTAGCCATGTGTGCAAAGCGCGCATTTGGCACGCACCGCACATGTGCACCAGGGGTGAAATGCTCCTGGTTCGGACCGGATTGCCCGATCTGGTAGCAATGGCGGCGGGTGGTTCAGAGAACCGGTAGCAAAAATCCCTGCGCCCCCTCCCATGCCCAGCTGAGCCGCGTGATCATCAGAGGCTTTTTTTTTTAAAGAAAAAAAAAAGCCTCTGATGATCACACGGCTCAGCTGGGATCGTCAGAGGCTTTTCAAAGCATTTTTTTCTGCAACCTCTTGGCCGAAGAGGTGGTAAAAAAAAAATGCTTTGAAAAGTCTCTGATGATCCCAGCTGAGTTGCCTGATCGGCAGAGGCTTTTCAAAGCATTAGAAAAAATGCTTTGAAAAGTTTTTTTAAAAAAAAGTTGGCCACACCCACCCAGTCACATTACCCCCTCCACCACCAAGCCACGCCCACAGAACCGGTAGTAACAAATTTTACATTTCACCCCTGATGTGCGCACACAGTGAATCAGTAGCAGACTTCGGAGCATTTCCCCACTGACGACATCATCTGTCTCCAGTCTACAACACAATCCTTTCAGCAGTTCCAAGAAGACCCCACACCCATTTGCACCACTCAGGTGACCCTGAGGACACAGATAAACCCCCAGGCAGCCTCAACGACCCTCAAAAAGGATGCTAAATTGTAAGATTTAATCAGCAGCTTCCTCATCATCAAAATTCTTGGCTTAAAGGTCGACATTCATTCAGATCAGGAACATTCATTTTTCCTGATTAAAAAAAAAAATCTAGCAGTATCCTGTTCCAACAATGGTCACCACGATACAGGTAGTCCTCGACTTATGACTACGACGGAGCCCAAAATTGTCCTTGCTAAGCAAAAGGATTGCTAAATGAGTTTTTTCCCCCCCATTTTACAAGCTTTCCTCCCACAGTTGTTAAGTGAATCACTGCAGTTGTGAAATGAGAAACACGGCTGTTAAGCGAATCTGGTTTCCCCATTGACTTTGCTTGTCAGAAGGTCACAAAAGGGGATCACAAGACACTGTAACCGTCCAAACACCCGAATTTTGATTCCACGTGGCCACGGGGATGCTGCAGTGGTCGTAAACTGTGAAAAAACTTTCACGAGTAACTTTTTTTCATTGCCTTTGAATGGTCACTAAATGAACGGTTGTAAGTCAAGGACTACCTGTACTTCTGGGAAGCCTTTAAGCAGGACAAGAAGGCTACTGCTCCTCTACAGGTGGCCTTGAGCCCGGAAACCAAGCAAACCAACAGATCTTCTCCATAAAGCATTTCTTTAATTGAATTAGAATAGAGTAAGAGAGTTGGAAGGGACCTTGGAGGTCTTCTAGTCCAACCCACTGCTGAGGCAGGAAACCCTCTACCAGGGCTCTGCAACCCTAAACACTCAAAGAGCCAGTTGGACCCGTTTCCCACAGAAAAGAAAAACACCGGGAGCCACAAAACCTGGGTGGGTGTGGCCAACTCGACATCACTCACTTCCATCAGTCACATGACACACCCCCCCCAGTCACGCCTACCCAGCCGGTCATTAGGGTAGAGAACCGGTTGTTAAAAAACACCGGGAACCACAAAACTCTTTAGACATCTCTCCCTCCCTCCCTCCCTCTCTCCCGCCCCTCCCTCTCTCTCTGTATCTCTCTGTCTCTGCCCTCGCCGCTTCTCCATCCCCCACCGTCGCCCTTACCTTCTCAGGCCAAGCAAGGAGTGACTGGGAGGGGAGGACGAGGGGCAGGCCCAGCCAGTGGTGGGATCACCTGACAGGGAACCGCAGCAGAGGGCCCAAAGAGCCGCATGCAGCTCCGGAGCCGCAGGTTGCTGACACCCGCCCTATACCATTTCAGACAAATGGTTGTTCAAAGCCTTGATAGTACAGTGGTCTATGCACCCTGTTATTAACACAGCTGCCTGCAATTTACTGCTGGTTCGAATCTCTCCAAGGCTCAAGATTGCCTCAGCCTTCCATCCTTTCTAAGGTAGGTGAAATGAGGACCCAGTTCGTGGGGGCAATAAGCTGACTTTGTATAAAATATACAAAAGTATGAAGGCTATTGCTTAACGCATTGTAAGCCGCCCTGAGTCTCCGGAGAAGGGCGGCATATAAATCAATTTTTTTAAAAAAAAAAATCTCTTTCTTTAAAAATTATTTAATTCAATTGCTTCACTTCACTATCTTAGACATAAGCTTTCCTTCATAAAGACACTTCAGAAGGACTACATTTTGAGTGAACAAAAGAACAAGAAAAATTGTGGATTGTATAATCAGGGGAGCCAAAAAAAAAAAATCCTTGTGATCAACAGTAAGCAACGTCATTGGATCAGTGGTAAGAGCCTTGGTGGCGCAGCAGACTAAAGTGCTGTTAAGTAACACCAGTTGCCTGCAAATACTGCAAGTTCAAATCTCACCAGGCTCAAGGTTGACTCAGCCTTCCATCCTTTCGAGGTAGGTAAAATGAGGACCCGGATTGTGGGGGCAATAAGCTGACTTTGTATAAAAAAGAACACCGCTTGGGGGGGGCGAAAGCCCTACTAAGCAGGTATATACAAAAAGTATGAAGACTATTGCTTAACGCATTGTAAGCCGCCCTGAGTCTCTGGAGAAGGGGGGCATATAAATCGAACCAATAAATAAATAAATAAATAAATAAAGTATTGAATGGATTGCTTCCTCATGAAAAACGTTATGAAAAACAGGGGAGGCGGAGAGAAAGATCAGATATATATTGAATTGAAGATGTCACAAGGGTACAAGTTCTTTTTATATGAAACTAAAAAAAGAAAAAAAATCCATCGGAGATGATGAAGAGAGCATGTTTGGATCCCTGCAGATTTCCTCATATGTTTGTGAGCACGGGATCGCAGCTCCTGTTCATGTCAACAGATCCATAATGTCAAGTGTTCAGAAAAGAGATCATGAGGCATGTACAGCAGTGGTGGGATCCGGGGCGAACCGGTAGCAGTGGGGGTGGGAGGTCCCGTCCCCTCGCCTAGACGTTTCTGCGCATGCGCAGAACTGTCGCGAGCGTGCCCACCAGAGAACCAGTAGCAACGGGTTTTGCAACCCGCCCCAGGTAGTCTTTGACTTACAACAGTTCACTTAGTGACCATCCAAAGTTACGACGGCACTGAAAAAAGTGACTTATGACCGTTTTTCAGACTTACAACCGTTGCAGCATCCTCATGCTCACGTGATTTACGTTCGGATGCTTGACCACTGACTCATATTTATGACAGTTGCAGTGTCCTGGGGTCACGTGATTCCCTTTTCCGACCTTCTGACAAGCCAAGTCAATGAGGAAGCCGGATTCACTTAACAACTTTGTGATTCATTTAACAAGTTCAGCAATTCACTTAACAAATGTGTGACTCATTTAACAAGTTCAGCGATTCATTTAACAGCTGTGTTACTGGCTGAACAACTGCAATGATTCGCTTAAGAACTGTGGCAAGAAAGGTCGTAAAATGGGGTGAAATTCCCTGTCTCACTTAGCAGCAGAAATTTTGAGCTCAATTGTGGTCATCTAGTAAAATACTTAGCAACCACGTCACTAACTTAAGAACGGCAGTGATTCACTTAACAAATGTGGCAAGAAAAGTCGTAAAATGGGGCAAAACTCACTTAACAAATTTCTCACTTAGCAACATACATTTTGGGCTCAATTGTGGTCGTAAACTGAGGACTACCTGTCATGTCTAGAATAAACTTTATATAACATCAATACCAGTTGTCTTTAATTTATGACCACAACTGAAACCAGAATTTCCATTGCTAAACAAGAGAGTGGTTAACGCATCCATTTTAAGATGTGTTTTGCCATGATTGCTAAGCCAATCACTGACGTTATTAAGTGAATCAGGCAGTCGTTAAGTGAATCCAGATTCCTCCATTGACTTTGCTTGCCGGAAGCCAGCTGGGAAGGTCACAAATGGGGATCACGTAACTCGGGGACACTGCAACTGTTGTGAAGTGCCCACATTTTGATCACAGGTATTTGCCACTCTCACAGATCACGTGACTATGGTGATACTGGGACAGTTGTAAATGCAAGGACCAATCGTAAGTCAGTTTTAGTGCCGTTGTAACTTTGAATGGTCACTAAATAAATAGTTGTAAGTTGAGAACTACCTGTATATGCAAACCTTTGCTTCTATCCAGCTCAGAGGTCTTCAAACTTGGCAGCTTTTAAGACTTGTGGACTTCAACTTCCAGAATTCTCCAGCCAGCATAGCATAGCTGGCTGGAGAATTCTGGGAGTTGAAGTCCACAAGTCTTAAAAGCTGCCAAGTTTGAAGAGCCCTGATCTATCTTTTGGTATGTTGAAAGTGGTCTTTCCAATTACTCTGTCGTCAATTTTATGGGTTCCATATGCTGTGACGGACAAGCTATTTATCTTATGATTCATTTATTTTTTCAATAAAAAAAAAAGTACAAACCAACTGAGTGCAGCACAAACCTTGTGGAACTTAATTCATGGCTATCTCTATAACGTAATACAGAATAATCTGAGTAATTCCACCAGTAATGCCAATTAATTTGAGCATCGGGAGCATTTAATCCTTAGCAGACTCCATTTAAGTGGCTTATCCAGATAGTATTAGCTTCTTCATGTTTCAATAGCACTAGCGCTTAGACTTATATACCGCTTCACAGTGCTTCACGGCTCTAAGCAATTTAACAGAGTCAGCATATTTTCCCCCAACAATCTGGGTCCTCATTTTACCGACCTCGGAAGGACAGAAGGCTGAGTCAACCTTGAGCCGGTCAGAATCGAACTGCTGAACTGCTGGCAGCCAGCAGCTAGGAGAAGTAGCCTGCAGTACTGCATTCTCACCACTGCGCCACAAGATATTTGTAAGTCAGAGAGGTTGCCACAAAGAGGAAGGGGATCAAGAGGGCAAGAGAAGAAACAACGGATGGAAACTAATCAAGGAGAGAGGCAACCTGGAATTAAGGAAAAACTTCTTAATGGTGAGAACAATTAACCAGGGGAACAGCTTGCCACCAGAAGTTGTGGGTGCTTCATCACTGGAGGTTTTTAAAAGGAGACTAGACAGCCACTTGTCTGGAATGATATAGGATCTTCTGCTTGAGCAGGGGGTCCCTTCCAGGTCTATTCTGATTGATTCATTGAATTGCCTTCTACACAACAGCCGTAACCATTAAGTAAGAGCTCTGAGTAGCTTCAACACCCGCTGTGCAAAGAATCTGCTGTATCTTTAGCGCTGCAAATGCTTACATGGGTTGGGCTGATAAGGAACAGGTCACTGAGGGACTTATGACTTTTCACACTTGACCTCTGCAGCACCCACATGTCACATGGTCAAAATTCAGACGCTGGGCCACTGACTCATATTTATGACGGTTACCATGTTGATCAACTTTTGCGACCTTCTGACGAGCAAAGTCAATGGGGAAGCCAGATTCACTGAACAACTGTGCGACTAACTCAACAACTGCAACGATTCACTTAACAACAGTGGCAAGAAAGGTCGTAAAATGGGGCAAAACTCACTGGGGGATGGACTAGAAGACCTCCAAGGTCCCTTCCATCTCTTTCATTTGTACTCTGATTCAGGGGATCCTGAGGATATAGATAAATCTCCAAGTGGCCTCAACGACTCTGAGAGAGAGTGCTAATAACCAGATGACTGCAAAGAATATAAATCCTTCCATTCCCCACTATTCAGTCAGAACTGAAGAAGCTTCTTGGATGAGAAATGAAACGCCTTCAAGGAAGAACAAAGTTGCCTCTTGAAAAAGCACCGTTGGATCAATAAAAATCATTCCTAACACCCAAACAGTACAATGGGTCATGCTTCTCTGTATTATTGAATATTTGGCATAGCAAGATGTGGTTCAATGGGGAATTGAATTGAATTGAATACTTTATTTGGTGATCATGCACACAAGGAATTCGTCTCCAATGCAGAAGCTCTTAGTGTACATGCAAAGCAACAGAATAATGACAATCATCAGTATAATCATACCAATAAGAGGGGAGAGTAAGAAAGATAATAATAAGCATAAATAATAGTAATAATACAGCCATACTCCATGGCAAATATACATGGACATTAGACAGCACTGTGAAAATTAGATGGTCAGCAGAGTAATGGCCCAACCAACTGTCTAAACTCTATTACTTATTAGGTGTAGAATCCTTTAAACATCAAATCTCTGTGTGTTTCTAACCAGAAAAAGCTTAAATCAACATCATGTTCTAGGGGAAATGACTAGGATTACTCCTCTGAATGGGAATCCCAAACTCCCCCCCCACCCAATTTGAATGGTTGATTCACACGCAGAATTGTGTGAGAATTTATTTATTTATTTATTTATTTATTTATTTATTTATTTATTTATTTTATTCGTCTTATATGCCACCCTATCTCACAATGGACTCAGGGCCGCTCACAACAATAAAACACAAGCCACAATAAAAATAAAGGCTAAAATCTAAAAATTTTAAAATGAACCCATTAAAACCCTTAAAAAATCCTACGAAGAATCCTACGAAGGAATTTGGAATATGGCTACATTGGTGCAGTTGGAGCAGAGAAATTGTAAGATTTAGGACAGGTGGCATGGCCAGTTGTTGGTTTTTTTTATCGCTGGCCAAAGGATAAAAGGATCCTTTGTGGCACGGTGATACTACTTAAGTCAAAAGAAATGTATGTGCATAAACAGAAGGGTGGGTTAATAAAGGAAGTAAGAAAACTACAAAGAAATAAAAGCAACAAAATGAGAAATGGCCTTTATTAATAAAAGGAGGAGCGTGAGAAAGACGGGAGAAATGAAAGTGAATCAAATAATAAACAAGGATAAAAAGAAATGCACGAAGTCCACTGAGTTTTGCAGGTGTTTATTATTATTTTTTTTTCCATTTGTAACTGTAAGGTTCAGAAAAAGGACATTATAACCTGTTTGTCAAGATGGAGCCACCATCGCTTCTTGGGAATCTTTGTCAGAAGAAAAGTAACATTTCGCCCTTTGAATTAAGCTAAGTAGGGAAGCCACACTGATATTAATAATAACAGGCATCTGGCTAGAAAACTGGGAAGCTGTGAGTGTGAAGTTTCCGACTTGAAAACTTGGCAAGTTGACAGTGAGTTCTAGTCCTGCCCTGGCATGAAAGTCAACTGGGTGACATTTGGCCAATCATAGGAAAACTGAATTCTAGTCCTGCCTTAGGCATGAAAGCTGCTGGGTGACTTTGGGCCAAACTCCAGGAGATTGGGAGTTCTAGTCCCGCCTTAGACATGAAAACTACAGGGTGACTTTGGGCCAAGCACCAGGAGATTGGAAGTTCTAGTCCCATGTTAGACATGAAAGCTGCTGTGTGACTCTGGACCAATCACCAGGAGATTGGGAGTTCTAGTCCCTATTCTGACCTAGGCTTCCTGAGTCAGTAAAACACACGAATAGTCCCCAAAACCTGTTTTATTTTAACAGCTGTGAATTCTGTTCACAGATGAACAGAATAGTTCATCTGTGAACTCTTTATTATAGTTGTAAAGAGTCCTCCGGGATAAGGCTGATAATCACCCACCTTTATCTCCCTTGACACGCTGCCAAAGACCTAATTGGCAAAGCTACACGGAATCCAGAATCAAACAGAGCTTCAGACTTTAAACTGCACAGAATTAACAACGTTGCTTCCTGCAAAGGCCCATGTGCCTTTGGTCCACTTTTAAATCTTATGGGAGGGGCCAATCATCTCCAGGCCTTACTCCTGAGTCGTCCCTTTTCTTTTAACTGTTCTTGCCTTCTGGCAGCTCTGCGTATGCGTGCACTGGGAACAGGCTCCCCCTGTTCCTCTGCCTCGCTGAGGTCCGACTCTGGAGACTCCGGAGGCAGAACGTACCTTCCAGATGGCCCTTTCTGTGCCTCTGACGCAGAGCCCTCGTCCGAGCCTTCCCCAGACTCCAGGATTGGCCCATGGTCCTCCCCAGCCTCCTCACTGTCCGACTCTGCTGCCAGCTCCGCAGGCTGCTGGCGGACCACAATAGTCCCATGTTAGGCATGAAAGCTGCTGGGTGACTTTGGGCCAATCACCAGGAGGTTGGGAGTTCTAGTCTCGCCTTAGGCATGAAAGCCAGCTGGGTGACCTTGGGCCAGTCTCTCTCTCTCTCTCTCTCTCTCTCTCTCTCTCCCTCTCCCTCTCCCTCTCCCTCTCTCTCTCTCTTACCCCAGCCCACCTCATAGGATTGTTATTATTGCGAAAATAGGAGGAAGAAGTATTGGCTACATTCACTGCCTAGAGTTGTTTATAAAACAAATAATAAATGTGGGATATGAATTAAATAAACATTTGAAACAAAACCTGGGTGGGTTAAGGGGGCAACTGGTACAATACCACTATCTCTGGCTAAGGATTACCTTTGGTCTCTTGAATCACCCGTCTCTTTTGAAGAAGAGGCTGGCAGAGAACTCTTCTTCTTCTCATCTCTCTTATCTTCGGAAGCATCTGAACAGAGTTAAGGAGGAAGAAGGACAAGCAGTAAAGAATGAAGTCGCCATAAGGAAGCCCATGGGTCTTGTGCCACTAGTGAGGTTCTAGGACAGCTCATTCTTTGGTCATAAGATCGTCTTCTGAGCCAGTTAGCCTCCAAAGCAGTAGATAACAGCATGGTCCAGGTTTCTATGTTAACACCTGAGGAGGCTTGGAAGAACATCTGTCATGACATGGACAATGATGGAGAGAGGATGTGATTTTCCTGGCAATTAAAAGACCGTGCAACATACCAGCTTTTGCCAGGAAATGAATCCAGTTCTAGCTACATCTTTTTCCTGGAAATTTTTGTTATTTCTCAAAAGAGATATAGCAGGGGGACATTCAGGGTTAAGGCTGTGTTCCTACATATCTATCTGTTCTGACCTAGGCTTCCTTAGAAAACATAAAACACAATCTTAGTCCCGACAAGCCTCTCTAATTCATACGGCCGTGAATTATTGTCATTCCCAGTCCAAAAGGCTTCTCAAACAATCTTTCAGGGGAATGTTTATAAACACCCACCTTATCTCCCTTGGAATGCTGCCAGAGAACTAATTGCCACATGCAAGGCAAGGCCAAACTTAGCAGAGTCAAACAGAACTTTCCAAAGCTTTAACCGATCAGATGAACTAATTGCTTCCTGCAAAAGCTCACGTCCCATTCGGTCCTCTTTTATGTCTTATGGGAGGGGCCAATCATCTCCAAGCCTTACTCCCAAGTCAACCCTGTTTCTTAATTGTTCCTGTCTTCTGGCAGCTCTGCGGATGTGCACACTGGGAACAGGCTCCGCTGTTCTTCTGCCTTGCTGATGTCAGACTCTGGAGGCAGCAAAGAACTACCAGATGGCCTTGGTCCCCTCTCTGCCTCTGACGTAGAGCCCTCGTCCGAGCCTTCCCCAGACTCCAGGACTGGCCCATCTTCCTCCCCAACCTCCTCACTGTCCAAATCTGCTGCCAGGCCACAACACTATCTTGTCCTCTCTTTGGACTTTGAAGCCTGTTCATGTTTGATTGCTTCGACTTTTGGAAGGTGCATAATTGTCATTGGTTTGTTTTTTATGACCCGCAGCGTTCAACGAAAATTGAACTCAAATCTAATTTAGAAGTAAAATCGTAATAATAAGCATTTGAGGATCGATTCTCAAGATAGCAGCCATGAATCTCAGTACAGCTGATCCTCGACTTACAACAGTTCATTTAGTGACCGGTCAAAGTTACAACGGCATTGAAAAAAGGTGACTTGTGAACCGTTTTTTTGTAAGTTTCGACAGTTGCAGTACCCCATGGTCACATGATCAAAAATCAGAGGCTTGGCAAATGGTTCGTGTTTATGACGGTTGTGGTGTCCCCGGGTCATATGACCTCCTTTTGTGACCTCCTGACAAGCAAAGTCAATGGGTTAGGGCAGGGGTCAGCAACCTGCGGCTCTGGAGTGGCATGTGGCTCTTTCACCCCTCAGCTATGGCTCCCTGTCACTCAAAATATGCGTCACAACCACCAATGTGTGACACCCACCGACACACGATAAACTTTGGGCTCCACTGTGGTCGTAACTCTAGGATTACCTGTATTTATGGACTTAGCAAGAAGGAAGTAGTAGAATTAGGAATACTCAAAGGTTCGTTAGGATTGGGGAATTCTGAGAGTTTACAGCACTGTTTCTCAATCTTGGCAACTTTCGGATTATGGGACTTCATTCCCCAGAATTCCCCAGCCAGTCTGGCATTAATCGTTGATGGTGGGGGAATTCTGGGAGTTGAAGTCCCACACATCTGAAAGTTGCCAAGGCTGAGAAAAACTGGTTTAATGGTTAAGAGGGACCTGCACTAATGACTCTAGCAGTTAAAAGTGGGCAGGCAGGAAGTCTGTACCTTCAGACTTGCAAGATTCTGTTAAGGTAGCCTTCCAATTAAGCAGGTTTAGTTCACCTGGTCAAGTTTTCCTATCTTAGTTTAAGCAGGAAGGCTGACAAAGTTTGACAAAAAAACAATTTCCTAGAAATCATAGTATGATAAAACCTCTACAGACAGTCTTTGAGTTATGACCACAATTGAGCCCAAAATTTACGTTGCTAAGTGAAACATTTGGGAAGTGAGTTTGCCTCATTTCACGGCTTTTCTTGCCACAGTTGTTAAGCGGGCCGTTGCATTTGTTAAGTGAGTAACACGGACGTTAAGCGAATCTAGCTTCCCCACGGACTTTGCTTGCCAGGAGGTCACAAAAGCGGATCTCGTGACACTGCAACCGTCATAAATATGAACCATTTGCCAAGCCTCTGAGTTTTGATCGTGTGACCATGGGGAGGCTGCAACCGGTCGTAACTCTGAAAAACGGTCATAAGTCACACGTTTCAATGCCGTTGTAACTTTGAATGGTCACTAAATGAACTACCTGTACAGGGAAAAGAGAATGCAATTCCAGCCTTCATATTCTGCACGAACATGATGTGGCTCAAAACCAAAAGTAGGTGTATCTTGATTTATTCCATAACATTTTTTTTATTATTTGACTCACCTACACCTATTTCTTACCTAGCAGTTTCTTCCAAGCCTTGATAAGCGACTTGGAGAGTGCAATTACATCTTCATCTGTGCTTTGCTTCCGAAGGGCGTTCACAGACATCCCGATTCGGGTAGACTGCAAAATATTAAACGAAGAAGTGATTTGGCCCCAAAACTAGCAATGTTTCAATGAAGATTAAATTCTTCAAGACAAGGGAAGACTGCCAAAACTCTTAAGTTAAGATTTAGCCGCAGGCTATTTTTCTACATGGCGGTATTCTCAATATTAGGCAAAAATCAAGAACTCGGGAGCATCACCCTCAAAGTGACAGGAGAGAAGTTCAAAAGTAATGTTAGAAAGGCCTTTTCATGTGACATTTTTAACTACAGTAGTGGCCAAAATTGTGGAAACCTTTTGGGAAAAGTGCATTTTCTAAAACTAGCTAATAACACCACTTTTTTTTTTTTTTGAGTAGCATAAAATTATAGATCAATGGAAAGATAATTTAATCAAGAATGTAAAGCAATAACTTTTATGAAGGATTTGCTATTATAATAGCAGTTACAGTATAAAGAAAAAAGTGAAACACGTAGAAAACACGAGATATACAAAAATGATCACCATAGAAAAAACAAACTATGCAAAAATGATCCCCAAGTATTAACTGATCCCTCAGTTAATACTTAGTTGGGTAACCTTTAGCATGAATTACGGCCTTACAACGTCTTCCCATGGAGTGAACCAAGTCTTTGAGTTCTGCAGCTGTTATAATGTGAATCCAAGATTGAATGATGGCTTCTATTAACTGGGTTTTATTGCTGCGTCGCTTCTGACTAACAAGTTTCTTTAGTTGGTTCCATAGATTTTCAATTGGGTGAAGGTCTGGGCTATTTCCAGGCCATTCCAGCAGTGGAATAGGATTATCTTGAAACTCCAAAAAAAGTGATGTTATTAGCCATCAAACCTCAAAAATACACTTTTCCCAAAAGGTTTCCACAATTTTGGCCACTACTGTACAGGTAGTCCTTGACTTACAACAGTTCATTTAGTGACCGTTCAAAGTTGCAACAGCACTGAAAAAAAGTGACTTACGACTTTTGTTCACACTTACGACCATTGCATGGTCACGTAATCAAAATTTGGATGCTTGGCAACTGGTTCATACTTATGACCGTTGCAGCATCCCAGAGTCATGCGATCACTTTTTGCAACTCTGACTAGCAAAGTCCATGGGGAAGCCAGATTCACTTAACAACCAGATTACTAATTTATCAATGGCCGTGGTTCACTTAACGACTGTGGCAAGAAAGGTCATAAAATGGGGCAAAATTCACTTAACCAACTCTCACCTTAGCCACCTAAATTTTGGGCTCAATTGGGGTCGTAAGTCGAGGACACAGAAAGAGTAGAGGAAGCTTGAAACCAACTTCCAGTGGAGGTAGTGAGTCAAACATAATTAACTGAGTTTAAATATCTTGGGATAAACACATGTCCGTCATCCAGCGAAAAACAAAATACAATTTTAAAAAACCTCAAACGGAGTGGAGGATTAGGCCGCCTTCGGCTATCATTTTTCTTTTTTCCCGTGTTTCTGTTTGGCAATTTGCACTAAATTTCACAAAGCAACAACTTTAGAACTGTTTACTTTAGAAATCTTACCTCTGTCCTATTTTTTTTTTTGCTTACTGTGTACAGAATCTTGGCTTTAATTTTCATGCCATGGGACACCAAACCACAATCGGAAATGGGTTTTGAACATATTATATCAGGGGTGAAATGCTCCCGGTTTGGACCGGATCGCCCTATCCGGTAGCGATGGAGGCGGGTAGTTCGGAGAACCGGTAGCAAAAATCCCTGCCCACCCACCCCCTCCCATGCCCAGCTGAGCCGCGCAATCATCAAGAGGTTTTTTAAAAAAAAATAATAAAAAAAATTAAAGCATTTTTTCTACAACCTCTTCGGCCGAAAAAATGCTTTTAAAAGTAAAAAAAAAAAAGCCTCTGATGATCATGCGGCTCAGCTGGGATCATCAAAGGCTTTTAAAAGCATTTTTTCTACAACTTCTTCAGAAAAGGCTCTGACGATCCAAGCTGAGTTGCCTGATCGGCAGAGGCTTTTAAAAGAAAAAAAGCCTCTGCCGATCAGGCAACTCAGCTGGGATCGTCAGAGCCTTTTGAAAGCATTTTTTTACAACCTCTTCGCCGAAGAGGTTGTAGAAAAAATGATTTTAAAAGTAAAAAAAAAAAATTGGCCACGCCCACCCAGTCACATTACCCCCCTCCACCAAGCCACGCCCACAGAACCAGTAGTAATAAATTTTAGATTTCACCACTGTATTATATTGATATTATATAGTGCAGCGAGGTATTTACGTAAAGCACAAAAAATGGACAGACAGTACAGATAGTCCTCAACTTACAATAGTTCACTAAGTGACCACTGAAAGTTACAACGGTACTGAAAAAAGTGACTTATGACCATTTTTCAGACTTATGACCATTGCAGCATCCCCACGCTCACGTGATTTACATTCGGATGCTGGACCACTAACTCACATTTATGACGGTTGCAGTGTCCCAGTGTCATGTTTTACGACCTTCTGACAAGCTGGAGAAACCAGATTTACTTAACAATCGTGTTGCTAATTTAACGACGGCAGTGATTCCCTGAACAAACGTGGCGAGAAATGTCGTAAAATGGGGCCAAGCTCACTTAACAAATTTCACACTTTGCAACATACATTTTGGGCTCAATTGTGGTCATAACTCGAGGACTATCTGTATAGGTCTTCATTCATGATCAAGTATTAATCTTTTTCAAAGTATAACACCTAAAGATGTCTAGAGAAATTGAGAATACATTAGGAGGAAAAGAGATAAGTCAATATCATGGTTTACCTGTAGTAAATGCAGGGTTATCGGCATACTTTTCAGTTCCTTCAGCAAGTCCATTGCCCCTTCCTCAAAAATAAAAGAAATTCCACAAGTTAAGAGACATCCAATATCAAATTGTTAAATCGTTTTGATGAGGTGACGTAAATACCGTTTCCCCCAAAATAAGACATCCCCTGATAATAAGCCCAATTGGGCTTTTGAGCACATGGCAATAAGGCCAAGCACTTATTTCAGGGTTCAAAAAAATATAAGACAGGGTCTTATTTTCGGGAAAACATGGTATAGAAAAGGGGCTCAAATTCACAAGTCTAAGCAGAAATAGAGGGCCGTTACCAATCAGAGAGGGAGATACAGTATAGGAATGGAAAAAGCTAGTTCGGTCAAAATATACGGTGTATCAATTGAAATAATATTATATGAAACAAAAGAAAAATGAAACTGTGGTTGCCTAACTTAACCTTTCAAATTAGACGACATTGTAGGTTTCCAAAGACTTTTAATCAGTGTGGTCATTTGTGCTCTCTGAGCTTGGTTATTTGCATGCAGGCGTTTCATTACCCAACTAGATAACATCATCAGTGCTAGAAGGAAGTGGCAAAAATGGAGGAGGAAAAGGATTATGGAATCCTTGGTGTTCTCTTGAGCTTGGTGGTTTTCTTGCAGACATTTCATTACCCAACTAGGTAACATTATCAGTGCTACAAAAGAGCGGCATTTCCTCTCTTTTTATATACTAGTGACTTGCCCCGTCTGTAGTAGTGGAAGTGCTCCTGGTGATTCCTTAAAAACAGCTCAAAAATGGTCCTTGACTTACAACCATTTGTTTCCCAGCGGTTTCGACAGCACTAGAAAAAAAGTGACTTATGACCTGTCCTCACACTTGATCATGTGATCAAAACTCGGGCGCTTGGTCATATAGTCGGCGTTTGCGACCTCCCCAGTTGGCTTTTGGCAAGCAAAATCAAGTGGGGGAAGGGACCCAGCCTTGATTCACTTTGCAACTGCAGTGATTCGTTTACCAACGGTGGCAAAAAAAAGGCCACAAAATCAGGTGCAATTATTTAACAACCTCCTCGTTTCACAATTCTGGTCCCAATTATGATTATAAATCAAGGACTACCTGTATTTTTTTGTGATTCCCACCCCCCCATATGAATCTTACATCCCTTGTTTTTTTCTGGCAGTCTCCCACGCAAATATTAGCCAGATCTATTTCTCTTCTGAGACCGGTCAAAAGTTGGCTAGGCATTGCGACCTACTGTAGATTTCTCAGAAAGTTAGGGGTTTTTTTTCCCCAAGAAATAAAATAGTGATAGTCCTCAACTTACAACAGCTCGTTTGGTGACCGTTTGAAGTTACAACGGCTCTGAAAAAAGTGACTTGTGACCATTTTTCACACTTATACCACTGCAGCATCCCCATGATCACGTGATTTACAATTCGGATGCTTGACCACTGACTCACATTTATGACGGTTGCAGTGTGCGGGGATCATGTCATCCCCCACTTTGTGACCTTCTGACAAGCAAAATCAATGGGGAAGCCTGATTCACTTAACCGTGTTACTAATCTAACGACCACAGTGATTTACTTAACAACTTTTTTTTTTAATTTGATTTATATGCCGCCCTTCTCCGGAGACTCAGGGCGGCTTACAATGCGTTAAGCAATAGCCTTCATACTTTTGTATATTTTATACAAAATCAGCTTATTGCCCCCACAACTGGGTCCTCAATTTACCTACCTTAGAAAGGATGGAAGGCTGAGTCAACCTTGAGCCTGGCGAGATTCGAATTTAGAGTAACTGCAGACAGCTGGATGTTAATTATAATGCATTAGTCTGCTGAGCTATCCACGCTCAGACTATGGCAGGAAAATGTTGTAAAATGGGGCAAAACTCCCTTTAAGGACCCAAATTTTGGGGGGCAATATGCCGACTCCGTAAACCGCTTAGAGAGGGCTGTAAAGCACTGTGAAGCGGTATACAAGTCTAAATACCATTGCTATTGCTAACCAATTTCTCACTTAGCAACATAAATGTTGGGCTCAATTGTGGCCGTAAGTCGAGGACTGCCTGTACATGGATGTCTTTAAGCAGCTTGTGGAAGCCTTTCTCTTTGCTTTCAGCAGGTGGCCACCCCATGTTAAGTTCCGATTGGCTCAAAACAATGAAGCCGGATCAGACGGGTTGTTCCCTGGATGGGAGACCACCAGGAAATCTCAGCCCAAATGTCAAAAACTTCCAAGGGGGAAGAAGGAATTTTTAAGGACAAAGCATCATCCCCCGGAATCGAGATCAACTCAAAGGAATCTGGAAACCTTGCAAAGTAGTGAGGATCCCAACACGGGCCAGGGGGGGGGGTATCTTTTCCCTTAAAGCGCCCCACCGATTCACCCACCCCCCCCAAAAAAAAAGAACGCGGGCGGGCGCGAGAAGCTACGCTCGATGGAACAAGGACGGCGAAGGCGGGCAGCCAAAGCTGCGGCGGCCAGGGAGGGGGGCGTGGTTTCAAAGGGGCGAGCGAAGCGCTAGAGCAGTGGGCGGGGCCACCAGCGCTTCACGGCAAGAGCGAGGGCGTGGCCAACGGCTAAAGTATTTAAATAGCGGCGAGGAGGCGGGGCCAAGGGGCTGTCCTGGGCGGGGCCCGTTCTCCAGGCGATGCGGCGCGGGCGTTGCCATGGCAGCGACGAGGACGGACTTGGAAGGGGGGGGGGTTCTCTGAGAAACTGGAGACGGCCAAGCAACGGGAGTTTGTCGGAGGAGGAGGAGGCGGCGGTGGTGCAGGGCGGGCCTCCGGACGGGCTCCTCCGCGGGCCGGGAAGGCGGCGGGCTGCGCCGGCGCCCCCCACTCACCACGCTCTTCTTGGCGACCATCTTGTCGAGCCGCTTGGCGATGCGCAGGACCTCCTCCTCCTCCCCGCCCATGGCGCCGGCTCTCCGCTCCGCGCTTTGGCCCCGGGGAGGAGGGAGGCGAGGTAGCTCCGTCCCCGGGACGCTGCCGGCTGAGCCGCGGCGAAGAGCGGGCGAGCTGCCTTTCGGTGACCACGGCAACGCCTCTTCCGGTTTTTGGCCGCTCGCCCAAAGGCATGCTGGGAAACGAAGTTCGCTCTTCCCTGCGAGGCGCCCGCCTCTCCCAGAGGGCCGTGCGGCGCTGCACCTGTGCGTTCGCTTCGCAAAGCCTTTCGGGAACTGCAGTCCCGCACAAGGAGGCAGTTTAGGCTTAGATATTGAGGAACGGACTCCGAATCCCAGCATGCTCGGCGGATTCTGCGGGGGCGGGGGTGGCGTTCGCCAGGTTTTTCCTTTGCGACCCCACCCCTTTTTTTTTTCTTTTTTTTTTTTGCAGAACGGACCGTTAGAGCCGTTAGCTTGGCCTGCAAAAGAATCTGGGGGCCTTTTAATTCCGCCTATGGCAGTGTTTCTCAACCTTGACAACTTGAAGATGAGTGGACTTCAACTCCCAGAATTCCCCAGCCAGCATAGCTGGGATTTGAATTCTGGGAGTTGAAGTCCATCTTCAAGTTGCCAAGGTTGAGAAACACTGGCCTTTTAAAGGGCCTCTTTCCTCTTTAAAATGTAAATTTTAATTTGTTTTTAAAATTATTGGGTGTTTTAAATTTGTCTCGGCCAAATTGTTTAATTAGGTTTTATTCTGTTTTTAAATTTTGTATTTATGTGTTTCTGTTCACCACCCTGAGTCCTTCGGGAGTAGGGTGGTATATAAATCCAATAAATGAAATAAATGAAAGATGCCAAGCTAGGCATGAGTTCTAATTCTGCCAGTTGGGGGAAAATTCTGTTAAGTCAGCATTGCCTACTACTGACTACAGCTAGTCCTCGATTTACAACCCAACTGATCCCAACGTATCTGTTGCCAAATGAGACATTTTACCACTTGTTTTCGAGTGCAGCTCAGAATCTGATCAGTCCAACAAACTCTGAACACGAGGCAACTGATAATCCGTTTTATTTCTGATCGGAAAGCAAAACTGGGCGACCTTTTATCTCCCACCTTGAACAGAGCAGGCAGAGAGAGAGCAAAAGCCAAAGATGCTTTTTCACGAACTTTTTATAGTTTGCACAGCTTGCACAGATCGTCATAGAGTTAGAAACGTAACTTCATATCCATTAGTTCCTGCAAGCCTCATCATTTTCTCAGCGCTCTGAAAACAAAAGGACCTCGGAAGGAGAAAATAATACATTTTCTGGTATATAGCGCAGAGTTTTGTTTAGGGGGTGCTATCTCACATGAGTTACAACAGGCAGAATTCACATTTTGCATTTCACGACAAGTTACTTAGCTAGGCTGCTTGGCAGCCTGGAGGCTTTATCTATGCAGATATCTAGGCATTAGGTCACAATGGAGCTTCTCTCAGCAGCAAGGAATATCAAAAGTTGAGTTAGGTACGCTCTGTACATGCTCTAATCCTTTCACACCTTTCTTGTTGCAGTTGTTAAATGAATTGCTGCAGTTTTAAGTGAATCTGGCTTCCCCATTGAACTTTGCTTGTTAGAAGGTCGCAAAAGGGGATCACATGACCTTGGGACACTGCGACGGTCATAAATCTGAGTTAGTTGCCAAGCATCTGAATTTTGATCATGTGACCATAGGGATGCTGCAAAGGTAAGTGTGAAAAATGGTTATGTCACTTTTCAGTGCCATTGTAACTTCGAATGGCCACTAAACGAGCTGTTGTAAGTCTAGGACTCCCTGTAGACAGATGTTCTCCATGACGATGTGTCCCTAACCTGTGTCCTTCAAAATCTTCCAACGGTCCACTCGTCACTATGGCAACTGAGTTTATCCACCTGGTCATCCTCTTCTCTTCTCTTGCAACTTCTCCAGAACTGGAACTTCACAAAATGTGTCCAGAGTAGGATAAGGAGAGAATGCCAGAGACCAAGAAAACGACAAAAAATGTCACATGTAACCACAGGATCCTGCCAACGTTCGTGGTAATGGATTGGTTGGACTGCACCATCCAATCCTGAGATGTAAATATTCTATTGTTTCATCTCTGTTATACCTCAATGTAATCCAGAATATGAGCTGTTACTCACACCACGTCAGAATTACTCTTTGATTTTCCTGACAGCGCATTAAAAAGTCTTTTCTGATGCTTTCATCTTCCAAAGCTCAGAGAACCAACGTGTAGAAAGTTAGCACCCACCCTCCTAGAAAAATAAAGTATTTTAAGAAATATTTAAAAAAGGCAGAATATTATATTTTCCCCAAAGGAGAAACATGTTTCTAAAGACAGAAACTCAGACCTCAGCTCTCTGCCCCAAGTAAAAACTAAGGGGCCAACTTTTAGAAATGCAGTTTTGGTAATCCATTCAAGACAGGTTATTCTGAACAAAGGTAGGATTAGCCTACCTCAGCCATAACAAGCCCCTTCATTGCATCAGCACCTACAAAGTTAGCTGTTACCCCTACAGCAACCAATAGAATACATGCTCTTGCTACAGGAACAGGAAGCTCATGTTCAAAGCCCAAAGAGGGCTTTAAATAACCCTCATTCTCCACTCCATTTGGTCAGCTGCCCAGGACCTCAAACCCATGTGGTTCTGTTTCATCAATAAACCATCTTTCCAATCAGCCTCCATGTTTCTAGTGTTTTCTCCCTGCTTGGAACTGAACCAGATGGATATTTTTTCCAACTAACGAGTGACACACACAATAAGTCACATGGAATCATTTGACCCAAAACCTTTGTTACAACTCTTGCTAGGCAGCAACGAAGGCTCAGTCAAACTACCCCACCCGATCCTCAGGAAATAACCCAACCTTTCTCAGCAACCCATCAGCTTCCATTAATCATCTGGGTGGGCGAGTCTGTCCCTTTGGGGTAGAAGGACATTGGCAAGCCAAAAAGCCATCAAGTTGTGACTCAGCCCACAACAGACGGCTGACAATCATATCCTCTGGTATCGGATCACATCACAACAGCCTGATCATGCTAACTACTAGTCCTTTGACCTTGAAACTTCAGTTGATCTCTCTCATTAGCTTGGGATGAGAAGAAGACAACTTTGGAGTATCAAGGACTGGGATGGTTGACTCATGATGTTATTACGGTAAATTACAAATTTGGAACAGATTTTAGTCCAACGAAAAGGATTAGGGATGACATGATAGTGTTGGAAGAAATCTCCTTCTAGATTCTGCTCCAAGTGGGGAAACAGACACTGGAAACATGGAGGCTGCTTGGAAAGATGGTTTAATGGTGGACAGGATCACATGGCTTGAGTTCCTGAACAGAAAAGGGGCAGATACAGCGAGTTTTTCAGGTTTTATGCTCTCTCTGGCTTTGAACTTCCTGGGGCCCAGAAAGAGTACTCTGGTTGTCAGACTCCCAGGGGGTGGGTCACATGTGCTTCCCAGTCACATGTGGTGAGTTTCTGCTGATATTGTGTAGAGAGCTAATCCTATCTTTGTTGGATCTTTGGCAATTCCTACTATGGCTCTGCCTGAAGGAGGCAGATCTTTGTTATGTAGAATAAACTGGCCCAGGCCTTAATGGCCCATTGACAAAGGGTGGGGGGCAGGAAGGTGGGAGCTGCTTTGTCTGTAAAATATGCTTCTCCATTTCTCATCCAGGGAAATATAATATTCTGCCTTTTTCATATTTCCTAAAATATTTCACTCTTCCAGGAAAGGGGTGGGTGCTAACTTCCTACAATAGTATACCAATATTTGAGGGGCTGTCACAGAGAAGAAGGGTTCGAGCTATTCTTCAAAGCACCAGAAGACAGGACAAAAAGTAACAGACGGAGACTTCTCAAAGAGAGAGGCAACCTAGGACTAAGAAGAGATTTCCCGACAGAACAATTAATCAGTGGATCACTGTGCCTTAATTACTAGGCCTTTGGAACTTGTGGGTGCTCCATCACTGAAGGTTTTTAAACAAAGATTGGACAGCCATTTCCCAAAATGGAGAATGGATCTCCTGCTTGAGCAGGAGAAGACCTCCAAGGTCCCTTCTAACTCTGTTATTCTTTTAAGTACAAATGAAATGATCAAGTCCTGACTCAAAAACAGAAACTGTGAGAGAAACCTGGGCGTTCTAGTAGACGATTGATCACTTAAATATGAGCCAGCAGTGTGCAGCAGCTGCCAAAAAAGCTAATACAATCATTGGTTGTATAAACAGAGGCATAGAGTCAAGATCATATAAGGTAATAATACTGCTTTATAAAACTTGAGGGGCTGCCACAAAGGAGAGGGGTACAACTTATTTTCCAAAGCAACAGAAGGCAAGACAAGAAACAACAGATGGAAACTAATGAAAGGGAGAAGCAACGTGGAATTAAGGAGAAACCTCCTTCCTAACAGTGAGAGCAATTAACCCGTGGAACAGCTTGCCTTCAGAAGTTGTGGGTGCTTCATCACTGGAAGTTTTTAAGAAGAGACATAGAATAGTTTTATTGTCACTTTGAAGAGACTGGACAGCCACTTTTCTGAAATGGTATAAGGTAGTCTTCTGACAGGGTTGGACTAGAAGACCTCCAAGGTCCCTTCTATTCTGATTGAAAGTCCAAGCTTTCATTTCCTGGAGGGAGCATCAGGACCTGGGAAATGCCCGCAGGTGGCACTGTTGTAACATTCAAAAAATATCCGGTCAGCTGCTGAATTCAGCTGTTAATCCTTCAGCACTGGCTGGGTCCTAACTGCCCTGGAGCGCAGCTATAAGAGTTGTATTTTGCCCAAAGTCTGTATACTGTTACATTTGGGCAATTCCTTGAATGGTAGAGTGGGTTTAACTGTTCCATTCTTGCTCCTTGTTTTTTATTTTTTTACTGGAATTTGTCTGTCTGTCTCTCAGCTCAGGGTATGGAAGAAAGGAGGAGAGCAGGGGTGAAATCCAGCAGGTTCTGACAGGTTCTGGAGAACCGGTAGCGGAAATTTTGAGCAGTTCGGAGAACCGGCAAATATCTCCTCTGGCTGATCCCAGAGTGGGGTGAGAATGGAGATTTTGCAATATTCTTCCCCCAGGAGTGGGGAGGGAATGGGGATTTTGCAGTATATTTCCCCCAGGAGTGGGGAGAAAATGGG